TCATCATCGCATTGAATTTGTTTCGATATTAAATTTTTGTACTCGATTATTTCCCCATTCGGCGACATAGAGATTGCCATGTCGATCGAATGATAAACAAACGGGACGATAGAGTTGATTCGACTGTGATCCTTTACCGTTTCCACCAACAATGACACTTCCTTGTGTGGATCCTTTTGGCCAACGCATAATTAGATTATTCCCACAATCAGCCACATAGACAGTACCCAATTGATCGACAACGACTCCATTGGGATTCCACAATTGTGTAAGACTACTTCCTTCTTGACCACCGGCTACGACAATGCCTTGTTTTGCACCTTCTTCCCATTTCATTACACGATGATTTTCATAATCAGACACATAAACTGAATGATCTCTATCGACAAATACGTAGGTGGGCTTAGAGAGTTGATCGAGACGACTTCCTTGTCCATTGCCACCTGCAACCACTGTTCCTTGAGTGTCACCAATTTTATATCGTCTCACTTCATGTTTTTCATTGTCAACGACATAGAGAAAACCATTGTCGTCCATTGTCAAACCTCCGCAAGAGATATTGGAAATCATTGTTTCTCCACGAGTACCATTTCGACGAGGCCATCGAACTACTCTTTTATTATCCCGATCACTGATGATGAGACTATCGCTCTCTTTGTCGATAATCACATCTCGTGGGTAGTTTAGCTGATGAGCTCCATTACCTGATCCATTTCCACCAGCAGCTACTTTTCCATTCGTTGCACCAGATTTCCATTCCACAATACGATGATGCGCATAAACAGCGACATAAATCGTTTGATCATCATAGACGTACAAACCAAATGGACGATTAAGTTGATTGGTTTCACTGCCTCGTCCATTTCCTCCAGCAACTGTGATAGCATTCTGTGCCCATTTTGCATTGGGATGAATATCAGTGGAACTCGCACGTAGTGGTACTGAAATGGAAACAAAAGTATGAAGTAGAAATAAACATCGATTTCATTGAAATGAATCATTCTCATTTGCTTTAAACAGTATTGAACTGCTCTCAATTACAAAAGCTTTTTACTTATGAACTTGATTAGAATCTGGCTTTTCTCAATGTTGAAAACAAATATTGTTGACGTTTTCAAATATTTTGAAACTAACTAAAATTTTACTGATAATGTGAAAAATTGTGATTAACTCGAATTTTATCGTAAATGAAATATGCTTTTATATCGAATTTTTTCAACATATTCACTGATTTCGTTAGTTCGAGTTTGAAATATATTTAAAAATTATTTCATTTTTTATTGTTTGGATTTTACAATAAAATGAGTTATAATAGAATTTGAACGTAAGAAAAAACAATTTTATTATCAGTTGATAGGAAACGGTGTATGATTTATGTTCGTCACACATTTCTGAGTGAAATGAGACAAAATAAATTTGCCACTTTTATATGAATTCGTTAAAAACATCTTGCTAGATAATAACAATAGTTAATTATACTTAACTACCATGCATAAGACGTTTTTGACTGATTCATATAAAAAAATTACAAATTTTTTGTGTAAGTATTTTTCTTTCTTATTCCATTTACGAATGTGTGACAAATATAAATCATACATCATTCGAAAATATTTTATGCCATGAATTTTGCATCATACTTATTATTGAGTAATTTATTCCTGAATCTCAAACAAACAAGCAGTTTGTAGAAAGACTAATCGAAGTGCTAAATAAGATAAGTTTAGATAAAATAATACGTAAGTTCAAATTTTAGTAGATAAGAAGAACTCAAAAACAAATCTTTCCCAAGTTCAAGAATATTTGAAGAATCTGTCATATTCATTATTCTGCATTGTAGCACAAACAATAATCTATATACGAATCAATCAAATCTTTTATTGTGAATTCATTTCTAATGGATTTCCAATTTTCAACTTAATAGGGTATGAAACACGTTTTTTTAAACAATAGTAGTTTCGATCACGGATCGATTTCGATCTTTCTAAATTTAAGTATTTTCGCTTCTTTACAAAACAATACGAATCTCCTATGAAAATCTTGATCTAAAATGTTTGCAAGCTTATGTTTTGTAGGTTATTCAATAGGTGTAAATTTTTGGGGACTCTCATAAAAAAGCAACGATCGTAAAAGATTTCATCATGATTTTAGGTATTCTCAATAGCAATAAGTGTGAAGATTTCTTCTTCAAATTGTTATTGTATCGCAATCGGAACTGGTTAAATCTTAGAAGAAAGTTTTGTTTTGTTGGTCTAGAATTTTCTAAAGATTTACATATATTGATACTAACTTCAGCTTTAGACTAGAAACAATATTTCTATGATTATATCTTGAATGGACAGTTACAGAATCGATGAAGTTAATAAAAAATGTCATGCAGTTTTATAAGCTCCTTAAAAATAATTTAAATAATTTCATCCTTCTTAATTTATCTATGAAGAGTCTAGCTATAATTGAGATCTTGATTAAATTTAATACTATTTAATCAATTTTCATTTTTATTACATGTAATGTCATGTATTTTTAATATGTTTAATGTCTCAGTGCAATTGGAAGAAAGTACATTTTAGTATTATTTCTTTTCTTCCATCGACAAAAAACAAATACATGTAAAACGGTATGAGACCTTTAATAATGTGTCAAACAACTCGAAGATGAGAGTCAGAAACAAAACAACACTTTCTGCTTTCTAAATCAAAGAGATTGGGAGACATAAAATTCGAGTAGATAATATTATTTTCTACTTATAGATGATGGCATAGAGCTATATGAGATGCTTATTAATATTATAGATTTATTTCAATTAAATCAAACTTCTCAAATATTTCTTATACACATGGAAATGATCAGTCTGATCTGCTACTTTGCTTCGTTTTTTTGCACATAAACTTCAGTCTTATTTTAGAACAAGTATAGTCAACATTTGCTCTATATTTGATATTATATAAAATCCTATTCATTATTTTTCATTTTTCTATATTGATAATATAAATAACAATTAGTTTTACTTTTAATTTTTCTATGTTGGTAATATACATAACAGTTCGTTTATTGCTTTTATTTTCTATATCAATAATACAAGAATCTTAATTCTCATTTCTTGTTTTTCTAAATTGCCAGTTTAGAAAATTTTATTTATTATTTTTGATTTTTTTATATTGATAATATAGAAAATCTTAATTTTAATTTTTGATATCTCTATAACGATAATATAGAAAATCTTATCTTTGAATTCTTATTGATTTTAATTGATAATATAAATATCAGTTAGTTTTAATTCTTATTTTTCTATATTATCGATATAGAAAAATACAAAATAAAAACTAAGATTTTCTATGTCAACAATATACAAAAAATAGAGAATAAAACAAATTGTTATCTTTGTTACCAATGTAGAAAAATAAAAAATAACATTCTCCATATGACGAATGCAAAAAATAAGAAATTAAAATCAGCATTTTCTAAATTATTATTATTACTATAGACAAATAGGACATAAAACTAGCTGTTTCTATATCATCAATATGGAAAAATAAAAAATAAAAAGTAAGATTTTCTATGTTATCAATATAGAAAATAAAAAAATAAATAGGATTTACTATTTTAT